TGTATGCACGAAGAAGCTTGCTGCAGAGGCTACGTGATTGGCTCTTCACATCCCTAGTATTGCCTATGGGAGTGGTAAGGGATATGTATGCTAAGTTTTTACATTTATTTCAGATTGTATTTTTATTCACATCATACCATTTCCCGAGTGATGTGAGGATAGTATTTATTTGAAGATCAAATTATTTCTAAATCATTATATAGAATATACACTCAATCCTTGCCTCCCCACCTCTTGGCAACTTTCTCTGTTTTTCTGCATAAGCAATTTTTGTTTTTTGTGAATAACTTTAGGAAGGTTTACCCCATTTAAGGAATGTATATTTGTTTACTAAGGATAGATTCTAGAAATTTCAGTAAGAATATTCCGTCATACATTTTTTTTTTCTTTTCTTTTTTTTTTCTTTTTTTTTTGTATAATGTGTGTTAACCCCCTAAATGGTAGTTGCTATAAGCGCAGCAAATTTTTTCCCTAAAAGAAAAAACTTAAAAAAGGGATGTTAAGAATAAGAAAAAAAAGGGCTCGGAAACTTCTGGGATAAAAAGTTGAAGAGCAGAACTCTTTGTTAAAAAAGAAAAGAAAAAAAAGTATGTGCCTATGAAGGTTAAAATGATTGGATTAAAAAAGATTAATCTTCATTAAGTTATAGAATGTAATTGCCATTTTCATTGCATATCGGTAATTACTTTAAAAGATGATAAATGTCATTATGATCATTTCAATTTTCATGCTGTGACAACAGCTTGCATTACACAGTATAGTTTGTTAATTTGTTTATATTTATTTGTTGTATTTATTCTAGAATCAACTTCTTAAGTTGATTATGTAAATCAGAAGAAAGAAAATGGCATAGCCACACTAGAGTAAAAATGTATATGGTTAAAACAAGAGTTTCCCAGGTGAAACAACACTATTTTAATTATTCTTTCCACAGTTTGTGTCTTGCATATTCTGGGCACTGTATGCTGTTGATCGTGAACTCATCTTTCCTGCATCTCTTGACTCGTGGTTCCCAGGGTGGTTGAACCATATCATGCACACACTTCCAGCCGTTGGTGCCATCGCAGAATTGTACTCAGTGTGTCACTGCTTCCAAAAGGGAATCAAGATGTATTATCCTATTCTAGTGGCATACTTTCTCTATCTGTCATGGTAAGTTTAGGAAATCGTCTTACAGCCTGTCTTAGTTCATTAATGTGGGAGCAGCTGGAAGCAATTTGTAAGAACCTGTTGTTGGTTATCAACAACAGGTGAATTTTGGATCAGTATGTGCAGTTATTGCTTCTGATATTACCTGTCTTCTATTGCAACACTCCTACAAATATAGGTTTTCTTGCTCTAATCAGCCATCTTTTTTCAGAAAGTAATTTTGGTGGCAATCTCTCTATGGTTGAAAGTAATAGTGATAACCCAATTCCTGAATGCAAATTAATAGCAACTAATGCTTTTTGTTTCAGGATTTGCTACATTGCCTATGCAGCTGGTTTCTGGGTGTATCCTGTGTTTGAGGTTCTGGATATGAAAGGCCGAACCATTTTCCTCGCTGCACTACTGTTGCCCAATCTCCTCTTTGTTCATTTAGGACCCAGACTGCATAACATGATTTGGGGTAAGTTAAAAAAAAAGAAAAAAAAAAGAAAAAAAGAAAAAAATATATATCTATTGATAAATCACTAAGTAGTGATTTATTGAGGTAAATATGTTCTTCAGGAATAGTAATTTAGAAACAGTAAGAGGTAATGTAAAAATGTATGGTATGTAAAGTGGACTAGAAAGAAAATAAAGTTAAGAGAAGGATACATATGTAGAGAAAGGGTAGAGGCAGGGAGAGGGAGGGAGGGCGAGAGAGAGAGGGAGGGAGGGCGAGAGAGAGAGGGAGGGAGGGCGAGAGAGAGAGAGGGAGGGAGGGCAAGAGAGAGAGAGGGAGGGAGGGCAAGAGAGAGAGAGGGAGGGAGGGCAAGAGAGAGAGAGGGAGGGAGGGCAAGAGAGAGAGAGGGAGGGAGGGCAAGAGAGAGAGAGGGAGGGAGGGCAAGAGAGAGAGAGGGAGGGAGGGCAAGAGAGAGAGAGGGAGGGAGGGCAAGAGAGAGAGAGGGAGGGAGGGCAAGAGAGAGAGGGAGGGAGGGCGAGAGAGAGAGGGAGGGAGGGCAAGAGAGAGAGGGAGGGAGGGCAAGAGAGAGAGGGAGGGAGGGAGGGAAAGAGAGAGAAGGAGGGAGGGAGGGCAAGAGAGAGAGGGAGGGAGGGAGGGCAAGAGAGAGAGGGAGGGAGGGAGGGCAAGAGAGAGAGAGAGAGAGAAAGAGAGAGAGAGAGAGAAAGAGAGAGAGAGAGAGAGTTAATTATAATTTATAATTTTTTATAATTTAGCTTTATTCCATCTGTTATAATGGATATTCTTGGTGGGACATGCTTTGTTTCATATTGCTTCTAAATTACCCCCTGTGTGTAAGGAATGGCTGGGGTTACACGTAGGTCAGCAAGATTGCTGGAAACACAGACAGACAGACAGACAGACAGACAGACAGACAGACAGACAGACAGACAGACAGACAGACAGACAGACAGACAGACAGACAGACAGACAGACAGGCTGGGAGAGAGCAAGAGAAAATGAGAGAAAGGGAGGGAGAGGGAGAGTGAGGGAAGGAGGGCAAGAGAGATAGATAGATAGATAGAAGAGAAAGAAAATGAATCATATGGGCTAACAATTTTTTTTTTTTTTTCTTAAGGTTTGTAGTATATTAAAATGATATGTTGTTCTATTTACCTGCAGATATATAGTATCCCTTGTTTATAAAAGTATTTGTATCTTTACAGGGTCCTCTACAAAGACGCAAGGAAAGAGAAAGGGAAAGTAGGAATGAATACAAAGAGATGGAAAAGGGAAGGTTATCTAAAAAAGTTTATAGAAGTGACAGATTAATACTATGGTAAATTTGGTAACAACAATACTCAAGAATGATTAGAAACTAGAATATGGATTGGATAATTGATTTACTTGTGTTGTATATGCATATATATATCTGTTTTTTTTAGAATATGAGTGATTTTTTGAAATTTTAATAAAGACAATAAAGTCAGCTAACTTGATAGAGAATCCATACCCCATTTCCATAGTTAAGTAGTTGATAGGTTCATATATCTGATCACAATTTATATATGTTTTGTGTAAAAATTGTGGGAAATAGGTTACACAAAAATTTTTATGAATTTAAAGCTTTAGGACTTCAGAGGTGATTAAAAATGATAAGCATATATCACAAAGAAGTAGTTTTTATGGGAACTGATTAAACTCAAAATATACACTGTATTCAATCTATACATAGTTTATGCAGGGGAGGTAGAACTATACTGACAAGAGTTATCAACTGATAATTACTGCACATCCCAGGTGACTACATCTGGATAGCATTGCCAAGAATCAAGAATTTATTAATGTCCTATGACTGTAGGCTTTCTATGGCAAATTGCTAAATGTGTTTGTTTTATACCTGTTATTATCCCATTGAGAACAGTGGGACAAAATGTTAACCTACAGACACGTATATACTAAAATTAAATTCCCTTGATCTATACAGCCTTATTGTAGGTGTGTTCTGTGTATCATTTGCAGTATAATTTATTTCTGTGTTTTGTCAGTGTTTTGTTCATGACACAGAAACGGTAATGTAGAATTGAAAAGCAATATTGTCAACTGTTCTGAAATGGCTATGTTTTGGACCTTTTAGCTACTTAGCTGTGGCATAGACAGTGGCTTCTCCAAGAATTAGCATATGCTGACTCACATGAATATGAGATTTGAAATGCATGGAAAAAAATAGGTCTGATCCAAAGTGTTAGTTGATTGTTGCCAGTTCTTTTATTTGCTAAGCCATTTAAGTCTACTAAATTATCTATGTAATGTGGGAAATCATGAATATAAAGATAAAAAAAAGTTCAAAGTTAATACTTAGTTAAGTTGTTAAAAGTTCTAAAATATATTACTAACAACCTAATGTAGAAACATGTAACAGCTGACTGCATTTTTTGTTACTACCTCAAGTATATACTGTAGTCATATACGTAGTAAGCTTTTTATTGTTTTGGGTATCTGGACAAGAGAGAGTTTTTTTTTAGATGTGTACAAGTTGAACTTGGAGGCCTTAGTGTTATCTTGAAAACCAAAGTTAAATCTGTGGTTGTGAGATAGACAGCTTTAGAGTAACCATCCTGCTTTTATGGCTGTGGATATTACACTGTTATTTGTGATGTGATTGTGCAGTTAAAAGGTGCAACTTGTTTTCTTCAAGTTTTAGTTCAGGTGGTTTGTAGATGTCGTGTTCACAACTTTAGTCTTGTATTATTGTGTGAATTATTTCACAGTGCAGTAGATGTTGCCACCATCATTATGAAGTTGAACATTTAATGGTACATTGATTTTAAGTCAGCAGATGGTTATACAAACTATAGGACACTTTAGAACTCTTCTTATGCACATACTTGAATCTGGTAATTAATTAATTGGATTAATGTTATCTTTTGAATGTTATTGTGAGACATATATATATATATATATATATATATATATATATATATATATATATATATATATATATATATATATATATATATATATATATATACATACATATATATATATATATATACACATGTATATATATATATACACATATATATATATATATACACATGTATATATATATATATATATATATATATATATATATATATATATATATATATATATATACATATCAATCTACATTGTTTATTGATTGATTCTTGCAGATGACTAAATCAACGTTAGACAATCTTACAAACTTTGTACACATTTTATAAATATATATTTGAAAATAATGCTGTGTTTGTGGAAAGGAAGCAAAAATGTCTTTTACAGATTTCTTCTTTCCTAAATCTCTCCATTATACCAAACTGATTTAAGAGAAATAAATAAAGAGAAAAGGGGAATATTAACAACACAGTTTTTCAATATTTCTAAACATAAACTAGACATATAGATATAAAGGAGTGTGTGAATGCAGTTAGTATATGATTGATAGTAGTTTTTTCTTTTCTTTCATTTTCTTTATTCTTCCACACAGAAACAAATTATTAGTTGTAGATAGATGTAGATTGAGCAGGTGCATGATCTTGATGCCAAAGAGAATCAAGTGAAGTTTCTTTATTAGTTGAAAGATTTTCCTTTTTTATTATTATCTCTTAGATATAAATTTGTAAGAATTATGTTCAGGAATTATATATTTTTTTTATTAATTTATTATTTTTTTCTTTTCTTTTTTCTTTTTTTTTCTAATAGAACTTCAGGATGCTGAAAAATATATTTGTTGCATGTCTAATTTAAATGCATTTATCATAAGATATGATTTCAGGAAATTTCATGGCTTCAGGAAATATTTTTTTAATCTCATTTTCCAAAGTGGATGAGCCAGTCAGCTACCTTAGCTTTTAAGTATAATTTTAGTGTCCTGGGAAATTTAAACCTTTTCTGTAATGTTTGGAGAATATGTGAAAAAAAAATCATATCCATTTCCCCTACTGCTTCAGTTTTCTGATCTGAAAAGCTTGATTTACTCTATAACTTTACAGCTGTGAACCATCAGCAATACACACAAAATTAGTGGAGAAGATGGGTCAGAGGTGTGATCAAGCAAGAACTGGTAGTATTGTAAAAAAGTAATGTTAGATGAATAATGATGATAATAAGCATGATATTAGGAATTGTAGGAAAGTCATAATTGTCTCAGCTGTTCATTAAGGGCATGTATTTTTTATAATAATTCAGATAAACCACACTTTATTGAGTTATGCTTTACTTTTTACTTTTACTTTTACTTTTCACAGGCAAACGACAGTAATTAGTGAAGTATTATTGTTCTTTTCCTTGAAATTCCTGCCTCAGTCCTGGCTTTTAATTCTCTTGAAAAATAACGTAATCATGATTATTGACTGAAAAAAAAGGCTGAAAATATATGAGATTTGGCAGTTAGGAACCATAAGATATTTGTAGTTTTGGGTAAAAAACACATATTTTTATTTACAGAAACACTCAGCATATGGCATTTGCCTGTCATTTTACAACTTTCCACTTTTTTTCCATTGGCAAGTATATAGCTAGTTAAAAAAGGATATCCTTCTTCTAGAAATTTCAAGGTAACAAACATGTCATTGTAAAAAGTATCTCCTTGAAAAGATACATTACAAATCATACATGATATAATGTAGCTAGCAGATTTAAATTGAATAAGTTTTAATATTAAACCGGGGAAACATTTAAGATCCTTAAAATACAAAAATACATATCAAGGAGTCACAAAAATGTTCATCAGTTATATCAGTAGCCCAGCAAGTTTAATTCTAAATATCTGTAAACAATGGTTCTTTTTTCCCTGTTGTCCAAAACATAACCAAGTCTGCTGAAAGGCAGGTGAAGACAGAAGTATGAGATTGTCACGTAAACATGGGAAAAGAAATTCCTTTTGTAAAAATTTCAGAAAATATTAATTTGTATTTTTATTTGATTTAGATAACAACAACAGGAACATGCACTAAAAATTTATGTATTCTCAAAATGCAAGATGTAAATGTAAAGATGTATTGTTTCTTTAGGTTTTCTTTTAGTTAAACTTTACAAAAAAATATAGTTTCAGCAAGTGCTGAATATTTTCTTACACAAGTAACAAATAAAAGTAATCATTAGTTTTAGTTTTCACTTACTGTGCTGCCTTTTTTTTTTCTTTTCTTTTCTTTTTTTTTTCTTTTTCTCTTTCTTTCTTTTCTTTCCTTTCCTTTCCTTCCTTTGTTATCATACACACATCTTTAAAGAAATCGTTCTAATAAACTTGATAATATAGGATTTAATAATATAGCCCTGTGAGGAGAGCTTTTAGTCTTGCACAGAGGCATGGGAAATATGTTTTTCTTTCTGTCTGTGGCATTAGCCACATCATATACATTATAGATATGTCATTCAATAAAGAGGCCTAAAAGAGACTAAACCTGCTTCGAAGGGCTGTACCTCCTCACTGACTACAGTCGGCCAAACAAGCGAACTACTGTTTAACATACACAATATAGAGCAGGCAGAACCACGCATTACATGAATACTTGCTGCCTATCATATGGATGTGGTGTGTCATGGCAAGAATAGATGCAACCAGCATGATTGGGTTAAAATGCACAAGATATGTCATCCATTTAAGTTTAGTAAGGAATAGTTATAAGACAAAAGTGTATGTCCATCTTTGTAAGAAATAGTTAAGAGAAAAGACTTTACTTATTCTTATTCTTTTTTACTTTTACAAATTTTTAACCCAAATTGGTTGATTCACATGTTAATTATGACTGAGGGAGGTGAAGATAATTGTATTCCAAAAAGGAAATAAGATTGTGATCAGAAGTTCATTCTTTTATAATTTCCTTTAAGAAGAATGGAATATGAATAGTAATATATTACAGGTAATGAAAAGCTGTGACAACTAATATTGT